ACAACCATTAAAAAGCTTTTGTCTCACACCTTCACTAAAGACGATGTAACTCGGTATTTTTCAAAAAATCTTATTGCTTTAGGAAATAGGTGTAATAAAAAGATCGTTTGTTCTTATAAAAATACGGTGCTTTGTACTGTGATATGAGGCGACATGAACCACTTAAAGAGTTCACACGAAGAAGTGGATGCCAGAATGATTCTTCGTTCTTTAGATGCATCTGAAAGGGGAGCAAAGACAGTAAGAACTCTTTCGCCAGATACAGATGTTTTGTTATTGGCTGTAAGACGAGCTCCATTATTACCTACCTAAAAATACCATGTTTATAAGTTCTAGCCAGAGCCAGAGCAAATGCCTTTACAACCAATGTAGGAAGCTCTTGGGTCCACTCAAAGCTGCAGCACTTCCAGGTCTTAATGCCCTTTCAGGATCAGATGTAACAGGGGGTTTTAAGGGCAAAGCTAAAATTAGTTTTTGGAAAAAATTCTTAGAAGAAACTTCATCTACACTTCAGGCATTGGATTCTTTAGGTAAAAACGAAACACTAAGTGACTCTGATTTTGAGCAGATCGAGGCTTTTGTCTGTTCTTTATATTCAGCATCAAAAAAATGTTGTAAAAGTCTAGCAGAACTAAGATGGTGGTTGTTTGCACAAAGTCAAGTTTCCACTGATCATATGCTTCCAACTCAAGCAGCGTTAAAATCGGCAATACAAAGATGTCACTACCAATGTACTGAATGGAATCGGGATACACAGACTCAGCCCGTTGAGTGAATATTTAATTACTCAATGCTCAGCCGGATTTACCGCCACCAACGGAATACGGTTGGAAATTAGAAAACTAAAAATTTGAACCCATTATGTATACTCTCCCTTGCACACCCGAAGAAATACTAAATGTTTTAAAATGTTCTTGTTAAAAAAAATAATTGTACTCAAAGGTTAAAATGTATAACCCAAAAAAATGGGTTGTACGGAAATGTGCGAATGTGAGGCTGATCCCGAATTCTGTTCAAACATTGAAATAGATAAAAAAAACTACCTACTGATTCTGACGATGCGCACTGGTTAGCAATTTCGACAACGAGAAATATTTTATAAAATAGTTTCAGCTATTCTTCATCATTATTTTTATATAGGGGCTGTTGAAAGTTGTTTAAGGGTAGTTTTCTCCCTTCTGCCACTTCTTAGAGGTACGCCCCTTAAGAGATACAATCGAATAAATACATTTTGAAAAATATTTATAGGAAGGTTTTATCGCAACATTTATTTTTCGATAGGGGTTGTTTAAGGGTAGTTTTCTCCCTTCTGGTATCCCTTACAGGTTTTCTCCGTACAGATTCAAGCAAATACATACATTTTGGAAAATATTTTTAGCTATTTTTTTTATCGAAATATGTATTTTTGTATAGGGGTTGTTTTCTCCTTTCGGCCAGCCCTGAGAGGTACGCCCCATGGATATTCGTAATCTACACATTTTTGCGAAAATTTTGATGTATTGCATGATATTGCTTCACAAAGTTGCACACGGAATACAAATTGAAGACTGACTAATATGTATTAAATAAATAAATATATATTTATTGCTCAATTGCAAAGCCAGTTACAGAGCAACATCACAATTAATCTTACCTAGTGGGTACGTGCTAGTAAACACATGCATACTAAACTTAAAACATGTAAGAACAAAAAAAAAAGGTAACATAAAATAGGAGAGCATCCATTCACACTGAAATTTAGATTTTCGTGAAATTGTCAAAGTCCATAATGATACAAACTAATCCATTATAGTTTTATAGCTTAATGAAATAGTAACTAATATCCAAATTAAACAAAAGCTCGATTATGTCGGTTTGTCTGTCAGTCTCTCTGTCTGTACTCTCATTTCCGGCTAAACGGCTAAACCGATTGGAATCAAATTTGGTAAACATATTTCCTTCGCATAAAAGGAAGAGCTAAAACGCTGTTGGGGAAAATCGTGCATACGTAGGTGTGCGAGTGGTATCTGAAGCATATGACATAGGTTTCAAGTCGATCAGATTGTAAGGGTGGTACTCCATTTAGAACTTTTAAATTACTCCGAAAGGAAACACGCACGCATTTTGGCGATGTGACAACAAAAATTACAAACAGATACGATGGGATGTCCTAAAAAATTACGAAATTTTCTAAAAGGAAGTGTAACTTTAAAAGATATCATTTGTAGGATTACTTGTACGCAGAGCTGGGCAGTATTCGATTTTGTAAATACTTTTTAGTATTCAAATCCTTTAAAGTATTCAAATACTTTGTAATTAAATACTTTTATGGAAGCAGTATTTGTATTTGTAACTCAAATACTTTCACAAATATTAGTATTCGTACTTCGAACCTACTATCGCAAAGAAAATTCAAAGGGCTAGTAACTTTTCGAACTAGTAGCCCAATCTTGGAACTGTTTGAAATTATGGATTCTACAGGCCATGTTCTATAAGAAAATTTTTTTCCGGGTCGATCTGAGACAATTTTTTTCGAACCTCAAAAAAAGGCATAGTATAACCTTCCTTTTTTACCAAAAATCGACTACACCAAAATTTCTCGGGAAAACACTTTTTCTTATTAATTTTTGTGCGTAGAATCCAAAACAATTCGTACTTTTTCGATCAGACTTCTCAATCAAAAGTTATAGACTAGAAACCAATTTCGAAAGAAAATTCAAAGGGCTGTAACTTTCGAACTAGTAGCCCAATCTTGGAACTGTTTAAAATTATGGATTTTACAGGCACATTTTATAAAACAATTCAACTCATGTATAAAAAATCGCATAAGCCGCAGTGAAATTGTCACTTTGACAGCGGCAAAAGTTACCTGCAACTTTTCCAGCGACAAATGCACTAGTGGTTTTTTCACTTATTCATTTTCGAACCAATTATCGCATTACCCTTTCCCATATGACTAGTTTGACGTCTGTCAGTAATTGATTAGTTATGTGAATTTCTTGTTCGTTAAATTGTCCTGCCGAATTACACTCGAGGTTTGTATTTAAACCGAGTAAATTTGGGTTGTTGCAATTCAAATCTGTTTCCTTTTAGCAATTGAACTTGAAAAACTGTCAACCTAAAAATGCTCCACCTTCGGTGTCGCATTTTTATTAGTTGACAGTTTTTCTCGTCTAATTGCTAGGCAACAGATTTTCATTACCTAAACAACCCAAATTTACTCGGTAAAATACAAACCTCTTGTGCAATTATAAGTGAAAAAATTTTTTCCCGGTCGATTTGAGAAAATTTTTTTTTCGGGCCTGAAAAAAAAACAGTGTATAACCTTCCTTTTTTACCAAAAATCGACTACACCAAAATTTCTCGGGAAAACACTTTTTCTTATTAATTTTGGTGTGTAGAATCCAAAACAATTCGTACTTTTTCGATCAGACCTTTTCGATCGTACTTCTCAATCAAAAGTTATAGACTAGAAACCAATTCGAAAGAAAATTCAAAGGGCTGTAACTTTTGAACTAGTAGCCCAATCTTGGAACTGTTTGAAATTATGGACTCTACAGGCCACATTCTATAAGAAAATGTTTTTCCCGGTCGATCTCAGACAATTTTTTTTCCGGCCTCAAAAAAAGGCAGTACTTTTAAGTTATTCAAATATTTGAGAACAATTTAGAAATGTTTAGGGAAAGTTTCCATTGTCACAAAATCAAATATAAAAATCCGATACAACTGAATACCGAACGATCCTGAAGTGAAACTTTTGACTCGATAGTCTACGTCAACTTAAAAACAATAGGGACCTTTCTTATATCCTTAACACCATGTGTACCAATTTTCAAAGCGATGGCACGTTTCTAAACAAGTTATCATGCACACGGACAAACGGATGGTCAAAAATGGATCTGTTCCAAAATCGCTAGGATTAATTTCAGAAAGACGTACGTATCATGTTCACGACGCTTTGAAAACTGGTACACGTATTCTTAAGGATACAACTGGTATAAGAAAGGTCCTGGTAGGTACCTCCTATATAATAATATAATTTTAATAATACGCTTTTACTCCCCTTAAATTTGTATATAACAATAGAAATATAAAAAAAGCTAACCCCATACAAAGTATAACTTGATTTTTTAAGTAGTATTGACTTTTATCTAGTATACTGTTTTAAATTTTTAATGTATTTGAGTGCAAGTATTCGAATACCTTTGAAAGTATTCGAATACTTTTGAAAGTATTCGAATACATTCTAAAGTATTTGAATACTTATTTTTTTAAGTATTTGAATACTTTTCAATGTATCTGTATCTAGTGCTTGTGCTGGACGTAAAAGTATTTAGTATTCAAATACTTTTTGAAAGTATTCTGCCCAGCTTTGTTTGTACGTAGATCCTTTAAACGTAAACGATAACAAAAAAAATGTTGTACAGGAAAATAACCAGAATTCTAATGTACCTAAATCGAATCAATACGGATTACAAAGCGAGCATAAACCTACCTGCCTATATTAGTCTTTGGTAGGTATTTCGCGCACACACATTAGATGTAAATTACCTATACTCATAATTCCAGTCGCGTGCCTTGTTTATGTTGTTATATTCGAAAAATATGTAATACGTTTCACGCAAAAGTTTTACTACTCTTGGAAATTTACCTGATTTTGCTCTAAGTGACTGCAATTAATTATTATTTCAGCTGCTAAGTTATATGTATATTGCTAAATCCATGCATTTGTTCTAATGGGGTTACACTTCTAATTTTTAATTTGAGTAGGTACCTGGGGTTTATTTAAATATTTTTCTATCTATATCTCATGGAAGAGTATCAGGAAAAGGTGGCTTATTGTTAATCCTCGTAGGCAGATCGAATGCTAAGAAATTATGAGTTCAGTTGGTTGATAAGCTTTTGAAATCCTGAAATCAGTATCGACTTATTGGCATGGGATAATTATATGTACTTTACCAAAGTAATTAGTACCTTGCCTACTGAAATTTTCCTAATCTTGTAAACTTTTTGATTTTCAGGTAAGAAATTCTTCCCCATCACGTTTTTGGGTAGTATATTATGGATAGCTGCTTATTCGTACCTTATGGTATGGTGGGCTAATGTGGTGGGAAGAACGGTACGAATCCCTCCTGAGGTTATGGGACTAACATTCTTAGCGGCCGGCACCTCCATCCCGGATCTCATCACCTCTGTCATTGTGGCTCGCAAGGGCTTCGGCGATATGGCCGTTTCATCTTCCGTCGGTAGCAACATCTTTGATGTTACTGTCGGGTAAGTAATTCATTATTGAGCAATTTACTGATCACCGTGGACGAAACGACATGACTTTTGCGGAATTCAAACTGACGTGACCCAAAACATTGTCGTTATTCCAATTTATTCCCACCACAGAATATTAAATACTCAGGTGCGTTAAATTCATTACCTTGACTTTCGTCTAGACATAATAAAGGTCAAGGTGTAAAATTCGACCCGTTTGCTCGGAAATTAAAGTACTCGGCCCCAAAGGGGCCTCGCACTTTAATATTTCCTCGCCAGTAATGTGTCATTTTCCTGGCTTTTATGTAAATAACTATTTCACGTAGGTGAGTTACGATTTTGAAGATTTGCACAATCGCAATTTTGACCAAATGTGTTTTACTTCTTAGGAAAGTGTCTATAGAACATTGTAACAGGACTAGTTACAGTATCTACAGTAAGTACATTACAATTGCATTACACTCGCATAAATTAAAATTCAGTCTCTACGGCACTGGCAGAAATCGCAATTCAACTAATTGTTTTAATTTACCCGCGGCTAGCTCAGTAATAAGAAAGTCCTTACCGCACTTTTATCTCCTTCTAAGGTCAGAAATTCAATTTCTGGTTCGATTGGGCTCCGATAAATCAATAGTTTATCGACTATATTAATGAGCACAAAGGCGATCGAGTTTTATTTTTCTATACACGTTTGTGTATCCAAAATATTGGTTTGACTCATAAAATCAAACGCATTGCCTATTTCGTGACCAATTCAATTTGATTCTGGTCTAGAAATTTTGTCTTTACCACATAGACCATTGTCCTGTGGAAATACACACCTCGAACCAAAGAATGGCAACGCTGAAATTAAATGCAAGTGAAATTCTCAATCACTGAAACAAAAAACAAGTCGATTTCTTCAGGAATACCAAAGTTACTTTCCTCAAAATCAATATAAATAAGTAGCCACTAATTAATACAATGCAAAAATCATCCCTACAATCCAGAGCTAGAATTTGTTTTCCCATCGTAAAAAAATTGTATGTAAACATACTCCTGTCCAGAATATTGGCTTTAGCATGAGCTGCAGATTTTAGTTGAGACACACTGTAAATAAATCTAATCGTAAAAACGTGTATTGATTTTTATTAATACGTAAAGCTGAGCTTCTGATTTAAGGGTAGATTTAGATGCACCCTTACGACTAGGATAAGGACAGACACATCAATGAGATATCACGATCACAATCACTCATTCGATTAAAAAATCGCATCAAGATTATAAATTATCTTATAAGTCATGTAAACGACAGTTTTTCGATAAAGGAGGGTACGAAAGAGGGTTTTTAAACGAATAAAAGAAAATGAAATTTTGCGATATAAATCATTTCCATGGTATTCAGAATAAAATAATCGCGAGATTATTTGGAGCGGAAGGAATATGGAATAATAACGTTGCAGATAAGAGTCTTTAACTAATTCTTGCGAAATATAAGTGGACGTACGTTTAATTTCGCGTTCCAGTTATGTTTCACATATTCTATCTATTTTAGTCTTTAATTTATGGTGTAAGAGTTCGTCACGTAGGATGTTAGCAGCTACATGACATTTAATTCTCAGTTTAAAAGCCTCCTAAGAGCTATTTACAAAGTCGTATGAACTAGGGGAGGTCAGGTCAGCTGCACCCCCCGTGAACTGTTTTTCTACATTTTCATAATTTGAGATGTTCTGCAACCTCGGTTATCGGTTAGCGGAAAATGACACAACTAGGTACTTCTTGGCGCCGAAATGGAACTACGCCTGCTGGTTCCTGGACGAAGGCGACGTATAATATAAGAAGAATGGACTGATTCGGACCTTGCCGCCCATCCTACTAGACAACCCCTTCAAATTTATTTCACACGGACACTTTATTTTTTCCGAACTGCCCTTGTTATTCGAAAATAGAGTTCAAACGCAAAACTAACGCAGTCTTTGACCCGAAATCCTAAATTCCCTCTTTAACCTACAATAGCGGATCGTTAATCTCGACTTTCTTAATTATTTATCGGTTAATGTCTTTTGTTACTACCAATCCCAAAAGATTTTAAAGTCTGCTAAGCTAAAAATGTAATGTATGATCACTAAAAAGGATGTTATTTGAGCTATACCCCTGAGGCACAGGTTTTTAAAGAACAAGAGCTGTACACAAAAATGACTACGTATCATAATACTTGCCTGGGAAATCATTTTTTAATCTGCAATATTTCTACACCCAGAAAAAATCCAATTCAAAAGTTCTCGTTACAAGATGAAGTTTACTGCTTCACTTTTGCAACAAAAACCACTTCCTGGATTAAGTTAGGCGGTTAGGTAAATGTAAATCTTTTACAAATGGAAACGATCTCCCTCTGAACAGACTTCCGTTCCACGAACCCCTTTATTTTTCGTTGGTATCGTCAGGAAAGAGTTCACAGCGAGAAGGGTGACAGTTTAATTTAATAGTAATCTGTAACCTCGCGGATGAGTGGATATACTGTGCACATCTGCTCAAAAAACACAATATAGTCTCTTTAATATACGAAGAAGCATAGTCGCAGATGTTAGCACATAATCCCTAACGAGATTTCATACATAATAACCTGTACAATTGAATTAATGTGTGTGTATGTAGGATGTGTGGGTGAAATGAGTTACAAACTAAATGCGTATAACGGGCGTAAAGTGTTAGAGATTCATTTATTGAGATGAAAGAAAGAATTTGAGGAAGATTTCTTTCGAAAATTATGCGATAGTTTTTTCCGTCCGTCCGTCTGTCTGTCGTTCGCCAAACGTTTTGTACGAGTTCAAGGATCAGCGCTTTTGAATATGAGCCGGATTAAAAGTCGTGTTCGTGCCAAAAAATTCCCATACTGAAAATCGCATCTCATTTACTTTCAGTACTGCTTCGTCCCTTATTGTAAATGAGCTTTTGATTACGCGCTTCGCTACTTCTTCAGTCTAAAAGCGGAGTGAACGGTTGCTTATAGCCAATGGATCTACGCGAGAGTTCTTAACGTAATTAAATCTTCGGACTTTACCTAGGTGTCTTGATTCTAATGGTACTTTTGTATCTGTAATCCTCCAAAACTGGGTCAAACTTGGAGTAAAAATATTAAAGTTTAGTTAAAATAAATCAAACATGTCTAAAACTGCATCCAGGGACGTGAAGATAAGTTTATTTTCATCTGAAAACTCTAAACTAGTGTACACCCCAGATTAAATTTTATAGTTTCCGAAAGATCGTGCAATTTATGTCAGCACTGATATCTAGGCTACCTCCTACATATACATTTACAGGGATATTTAACGAGTTTGGTCAGCCGACCTTTGCATCACCAAACTCGAGGGTTAATTGCTTTGGGGTAACATTTACTTACGAATATCGTTTACCAAAGCGAAACACTTGTCAATTAAGGCGGGGATGTAAAATCTTGTATGCGCGTGTTGTTGATTTCTGTTTCAACCGATTGATTGGATTTAGTCTCTTACATTGTAAGTCTGAGCTTTCGTCGTGGGCAAATGCACCTGTTTTTGTATACATAATTGAAAGATGGGATTAATTAAAAATTTAGGGTGACGCTAAATTAATCCCATCGCTTGTATATTAATTAAAGTATAACACAATACATGCAACTAATTTTATCGGCTGCTGTGTGCAATGGCATGCGATCACTACGCCACCCGCAAAACAAATCAAAATTGAAACTTAGAATTTTATACTCCCCGTACATTTCCGGAATTTGAAATAAATCTTGGGCACGAATGACAAAAAATCTAACATGAAAACTCTATCCGGGTCGCACTTTGGATTCGAATAAACACGTAATTAATTGATTGGCAATGACCAAAATTTTATTATGCAAAACACAAAATTCAAACAATGCTAGAAGACACAACCACTCGGAACTGGTTTTCACACATACCACGCACGCAAGCGTTCGACAGACAATTTAATTACAGTTATTGATTAATCAATCTGGTCGTAAAAGGTTTACATTCGCATTTAACTCACAAAAAAAGACCCGCTGACAGCTAAAGGAAACTTCACTTGTTCTTGATATCACCGAACTGCCAAAATCTGGCTTGTTGAATTTGAAGGCAACACTTTTCAACAACTTTTCTGCTAATGGCCAAAACGCTTTTGAAGACTTCTCTCGAGCTTGACGATGTAATAAACTTAAATCTTTCATTAGGATTGCTTAATTTCTTCTGCACACTTTATTACAATACTGACGAAATAAGTTCTCACATACACAGGCTGACTGCTCAAAAAATTTAGCGTAAAATAAATCCACGCTCTCAAACCGTCGTGAAAGAAAAAAAAACATCTTCTCGTTATGTCCAGTATTTAGTGAAATACCACTTTCACCACAAAATAAAATTCTTCGTTTCTTCGTAACACCCTATTTCATACTGCACCAGACGCATTTTCTTGAAAGTAATTAAGTTTTGCCTTATAAACACTCCACGAATAAATCAAGACCTTTTATAAAGTACGCAAGCTTGACCAGATGTGTTTTAGTTAAAAAACCTTATCTAAATTGAACAATTACAGAGCGATAAAATTTAAAACGAAAACTACGGAATTACAAACAATTCTAAAAGCTAAAACAGCCCTGAGATACAAACTCAAGTAAAATAAACCAACTTGTGTTTATTTCTCGCCTCCAGTGGCGGACTGGCCAGTCGGGCGATCGGGCGACAATCCGCTTTTTAAAAACGTCAGCTGACCCTTGACTTATTTGCATGGCATTTTATTTAAATAACATTTGTAGCATCGGTTACATTTCGGCCCTTTTCATTAAGGTCTTTCATGACGTCATGTTCACTGTAAGAGGAGTACGGGCCTCGGATCATCACTCTTGTAGGCCTTTCGTTCTTATTTTCGAAAGACATGCTCTGTACTTGTTCCGCTTCCATTTCCGTTGCGAGGGTTTGGTACAAGTGACCGCCTGGAATATTGAAGTTGTTTAAAAGAGAGTACCTTGCAGTCTTTGGAAGATACATCCT